AATAAAAATTAAAGATTATTTGTTTATGTTTTTCTATTAAAGAATGAAAAGGAAGAGGGAGATGTAAAACAAAAATGAAGAAAAGAGATGCAGGAAAATTAGAAAAGATAAAAGGTCCTTTTTTCTTAATTTTTTTATATTAAATATTATAGCCGCACGGCTATACCCTTTTAAATATAATATATTTAAAGAGTATAGCCGTGGCTATACCTATTTTGACACATGGGCGCCTAAATGCTAGGGGTATTTTACTATTATTTATTAAGAGCATCCACAATGGGCTCCTTAAACCACCTCCTTAGATAAATTTTAGGGAGGAATTGTAAAAATACAACTCCAACCATGCTCCCTATCCACCTGCTAAAATAGAGAGACCTCTAGGAGCTCCTAAATCTGAGGAGAGAGAAAAGACTCCTAGTGGCTCTCTATAATTTAATGCTATTTTATTTAATGAGGCTACAAACTTTATGATTTGGAGACCCACAAGTTTTTTGTAAGTCGTGATGTCAAATTTTGTGAAACCATTTTCCCTTTCTCATCTATTTCTACACCACCCAATCCCAATTTTGTGTATTTCAAACCTTTATTTAATGCTAACTATTTTTTATTTTATTTTTAATAGAGATGGACCAATCAAAAAATAGTTATAGCATTTATGCCTCTCTAAACTAGAGAGCATGATTGAAGTTTAAATTTTATAGAGAGCTCCTAAAATAACTTTTATATGTTTTAAGCTAAAATTTAACTAAAAAATAGAGAGCATGATTGAAGTTTAAATTTTATAGAGAGCTCCTAAAATAACTTTTATATGTTTTAAGCTAAAATTTAACTAAAAAATAGAGAGCATGATTGTGGATGCTCTAATAGTAGCCTAGCATATATACGCGGGTTTTCCCCTCTTTTTAAATTATAAATCGTATAGCCGTGCGGCTATACTTATTTTGACAGGCGGAGGCAGGGCCTTTTTCAATTATAAATAGTATAGCCGAACGGCTATACTCAGTTTTTTTTTCAAAAAATAGTATAATGTTTCTTTTAAAAATAGTATAACCGAGCGGCTATACTCTATTTTTATTTGTTTTTAAAAATAGTATAGCCGATCGGCCATACTCGATTTTTTTCTAATTTGTTTTATAATATATTACAGCCGAGGGACTATACTCAGTAACTTGAGAAAAAGTATTTTGGATGCTGGAACTATTTTGCAAGAGAGTATGCCAAAAAGTTTGTGTGTTCATTGTTTTGGATTGAAGTTAAAATCTGAGCTCACTATAAATAGTAAATACTTCCGTTGTCCAAAAAAGTCATCATGCACCTCCTCCATTATACAATCATAAGAAAAAATTGAACTAGAGAAGAAGTTGACAATGATTATCTCGCGGGTTTAAACTTGAAATAACCCACACAGTTTATTTTGATTTGCCTCCACAGTCAAAACAGACGGCTGTTTTGAGCACAAGAAGAAGAGAAGGGAAGTCAAACCCAAATACTGTCTGCTGCTGTCAGTATTGATGACCGCCAATCATCATTCGTCATCCTCATCCTCATCTTCAGCTCAGTTATGCCTGACCTTTACATCCCCATCACAAATATAAATAATATAGTCATCTCTCATTCTCATTGGTCTCTTTTGTGTATCTTTATTCTTCTCTTTCCACACTGTATCAAAACCCAGGTATAAGAAGTAAAAGCCTGAGTCTCCAGTGCATAATCAAGTACAACATGGAAGCAGAAGCAGATGTTGTGATTGTTGGAGCTGGAATTTCTGGCCTTGCAACATCCTTAGGACTTCACAGGTTCTCTCTCTCTCTCTCTCTCTCTCTCTCTCTCTCTCTCAGATACACGCATGTTAATGTTCATGGTTCATATATTTGTTACTATGGTTGGAAGCAAAATTGAAATTTCTGGGTGCAGGCTGGGGATTAGAAGCTTGGTGTTGGAATCATCTGATAGTTTGAGGACAACAGGGTTTGCATTCACAACATGGACAAATGCATGGAAGGCCTTAGATGCCCTTGGTCTTGCCGATTCTCTTCGCCAACAACATGTCACACTTGACGGGTAATTTTCTCTCCATGCATCACTCTCTCTTGCCCCTTCAACTATCCTAACATGTTATGTTCTCAGACTGCCAATCTCGACCATTAGTTACGCAAAATCAATCCTGACATGTTTGTTGGTACTTACTAATTTCTACTTTTGCACGCACGAAACTGATTGCAGAGATTTGAATGTACAGGAATGTGACTTCCTCAAGAATTACAGGGCTTCAAACGTTTGAGATGTCATTTAAGGCCAAAGGAAAGCAGTAAGTTTATCAATAGCATATGTGCTAAAAGTATGTTACTTGATGCTTAATATTGGAAATCAATTGTTTGCTAGATTCTATTAATTTGCTTCTTTTTAAATGATTTTGTTAGTATCCATATTCAAACATGCTCAAATGATTGAGAATGTACATGATGTGCAGCGGAGACCATGAAATTCGATGCGTGAAAAGGAACTTGTTGTTGGAAGGCCTTGCAAATGAACTCCCCATTGGCACCATCAGGTTCTCATCCAAGGTGGTTTCCGTTGACGAATCGGGCTACTTTAAGCTGGTTCATCTTGCAGACGGAGTGTTACCAAGAACAAGGTCTTGAGGATCCTCTAGCATCCACAAGAATCAAGCAACACTATAAACTTTCTTTTAGTCTCCTTTGAATGTGAAGTGTTTATTATTGGTTATCTTCCTTTAGAGAAATAGAATCTTCAACACTCAACTCCCTAAATCGCCACTTAAAAGTATAGACGAAATTCTGAGCTTATTCAAGATCTGATCTTAAGAGGCAAAGCGAGTGCAACTTGTCCCACATTGCTTGGTTCATATCACACACTACGCTTTATAAACCCTGCACGAGGTGTTTGTACCGCCGAGCTCTGTAACGCAAGCTTGTAACCCGAGTGGGGGCTTTCAGGTGCTGGAACATTGGCTAAGTATTAGCGGGTCGGGTTCAGGTTGGCTATCTACTGGCCCGCCCATTCCAAGCCAGGAGTTGAACCCTGTGGCTCGAGCGAAGGCTCTGGGTCACTTGTTTTCTAGAGCGGAGGGAACCGCGTAAGGCTGGCTTCACAGAGCAACGACTACCTCCCGCTCTTGGCAGTGGAAGGATAACGGGTCGGTGCCACTCGGATCCGCCATGGCCTGCTAGACTGTCCCAATTGAACCAAAAACCTTTTTTCTTTTTTTAACCTCAAAGCTGGAAACTTTGTCATTTTCTTCCTAATGGTTCCACAAAGCAACTTAAACTTTTACGTACTTTCAAAGCAACGTAATAATGTCGTGATTGAATAGGTCTTGGTTGGGTGTGATGGAGTGAATTCCGTGGTGGCAAAATGGCTCGGCTTCAAGCAGCCAGCATTTACAGGGAGATCTGCTATTAGAGGTTGTGCTACCTTCAAGAGCAGTCATGGAGTTGATCCCAAGCTCAATCTGTACTTTGGGAATGGTATTAGATCCGGTGCCATCCCTTGTGATGATACAAATGTTTACTGGTTCATTACTTGGACTCCCTCTAGCCAAGGTAAGCTTTCACACAAATTTTGGGGATTCTTTGCTTCCATATTTTTTACCCTCAAGGCTCAAACTTACGACAGATCCTTGGGGCAAAAAATATAAGATAACTGTTTCGCCGCATTGTAGCACCGGTATCGGTATGCTTCAAAATGGTTTTCGGATCCCAATCTCACCACAAATAAAAAAAACCGTGATAGAATGTTTCATACCATGTTACTCAGCATCTAGACAAGATGACAATTTTTTTCCTTTTCAATTCAGAAACTTTAGGACTTCATATTGGCTGTTAATAAACTAGTATCTGTATGTTATATTTTTTGTTTATTCTTCATGTCAAACCAGTATCTGTATGTTACATTTTTTGTTTATTCTTCATGTCTTGTAGAGAAAGAGCTAGAAGAGGAGAACCCAGCTCAACTGAAGCAATATATGTTAAGCAAGCTCGGAAAGATACCTGATAAAGTAAAAGCTGTGGTAGAAAACACCGAATTGGATGCTTTTATATCGTCTCCATTGAGATATAGGCATCCTTGGGAGCTTCTTTGGGGAAACATCAGCAAAGGCAATGCTTGTGTTGCAGGAGACGCGCTCCACCCCATGACCCCAGACATTGGCCAAGGCGGCTGCTGTGCATTAGAAGACGGCGTTGTATTGGCAAGGTGTCTTGGTGAGGCCTTGTTGAAGAACTCAGGGGGAGAAAGAAAAGATAAGGAGGGTGAAGAAGGAAAGGAAGAGTATGAGAGGATTGAGATGGGGTTGAACAAGTATGCCAATGAGAGGAGATGGAGAAGCTTTGATCTGATTAGTACATCTAGAGTGGTTGGTTTCTTACAAGAGAGTAATGGAAAATTTATGAACTTCTTGAGGGACAAATTTTTATCTCCAATCCTCGCTGGTTTGTTGTTGAAGAAGTCAGATTTTGATTGTGGGAAGCTCAGGATCTCTTAAATGCAATGATACTTCCTCTGCATATATAATAGTGATTTGCATGTAACCTTATATGTCAATCATATTAGTGCAAGAACTTTCTTTGTCATTTTGTAATTTGTATGGAGTTTCTGTAAAGGGACATTTCTTTTTAATCTTTATTATAAAAATAAAATAATCAGAATATGGGAAATACCACTGAATATTGGGAGTAGAATTCTATTTAGCTCTTGTGGTTTTACACTGACATAACTTTCTTCCACTGATAGAACTCTTCTAAGATAGAGCTCTCACACTATCAAATTTCTCACTCACTCTCTCTCAAATTTCTCTCAGAATTGGTTGTGCATTTTGCAACTGAAGAGGAAGCCTATTTATAAGCAATTAGAATGGCCTCCCGTGAATGCATCTTCAAAATTTTCTCCCAACATCATAACTCATCTTTTGACTATCATTTCCTTATCTTCTTTGTGTGGGCTCCACAATACTCTTTACAACAATCTCATCTTTCTATGTCTATATTTTTGTTCTGCGAGTCTGTTTCCACTAAAACCAAAGCAAAAGCCTCAAATATCATTCATGGAAGTAGAAGCACAAGTTGTGATTGTAGGAGCTGGAATTGCTGGCCTTGCAACATCCTTAGGCCTTCATAGGTTCTCTCTCTCTCTCTCTCTCTCTCTCTCTCTCTCTCTCTCTCTCTCTCTCTCTCCCTCTCTCATCTGTGCATGTGTGTGTGTGTTTTAGTACTGCTAAAACAAGTTATGATTGTAAGTATGTAGTTCACTATGACTCTAAGCAGCAAGCAAAATTCAAATTTTGTTGGCTGCAGGCTTGGCATCCGAAGCTTAGTGTTGGAATCGTCGGATAGTTTGAGGACAACAGGGTTTGCATTCTCAACATGGACAAATGCATGGAAGGCATTAGATGCCCTTGGTATTGGCGATACTCTTCGCCGACAACATGAGACACTTCATGGGTACATTATGTCACTATTTTGGACATGTTATTGTGTCAAATTATGTTTCAATGTTTGAACACTTTGACAACACAGCAAAAAATAAAACTGAGTTAGATATACCCCTTTTGCTTGATAAATTTCTGGACAATTTGCTCTGTGTGTGTGTGTGTGTATATAATATATATTTTTTTTCAGCTAGTAGTTTCTTGCTTTACATGCACACATGAAACTGATTGCAGAGTTTTGAATACAGGAATGTGACTTCCTCAACGATTTCTGAGCTTCCAATATTTGAAATGTCATTTAAGGCCAGGGGAAAAAAGTAAGTTTAACAGTAGAGCAGTTCCTCAGTAGCTTATAATCCTCCAGTTGCTGCATCTCATTTTTGCATACTTTTCAACCCCCAAATATTGTTTTCCTGTTTTTTTTTAATTTTTACCCTCTATTGAAAATCACTTATGACAAGACTATTAACATTCAGTTTGAGCATGCTCAGATGATTGAGAATTTGAGAGTTTAACTGATGTGCAGCGGACATCATGAAGTTCGATGTGTGAAAAGGAACTTGTTGTTGGAAGCTCTTGCAAATGAGCTCCCTAGTGGCACCATCAGGTTCTCATCCAAGGTGGTTTCAATTGACGAATCGGGCTACTTTAAACTGGCTCATCTTGCTGATGGAACCATCCTCAAAGCCAGGGTAGACTAATCAGATGAAAAGTTGATTGTTCAAATTTTAACACCTTTTCATATCTGTAACTTTTAGCATCTGGTGCATAAGAACATCTCAACCTTGCTAGGGACTATCTGTTTGATAGCTGCACATTGTACACCATTAACTACATGAAGTTCTTGTTGTTGAGAGAATGCAAAGCCTTGCCTTATTATATATAATGTCTTAGGCCGCCGCTCCATCCACCGTTATCAATTGGTTTTAGGTTGGATATATGTTCTAATCCTTTCGGTTATAAGTATCTGTATCTTTAATCTAATCACTTACAATATCAACGCCTTGATTGAATAGGTCTTGGTTGGGTGTGATGGAGTGAACTCGGTGGTTGCAAAATGGCTTGGCTTCAAGCAGCCGGCATTTACAGGGAGATCTGCTATTAGAGGTCGTACCGACTTCAAGAGCCCTCATGGTTTTGATCCCATTTTCATGCAGTTCTTTGGGAATGGTATTAGATCTGGTGTCATCCCTTGTGATGATAAAACTGTTTATTGGTATTACACTTGGGTTCCCTCCAGCCAAGGTAAGCCTTCCATACCAATTTTGGAGCTTTTTCTTTTGCTTCCACAGAGACTTTTTCTTCCATATGCTACAGAATCAATGGTTTTCAGCTCTCAATCACAATACAAATAACAAAACAACAGTGATAAATTGTTTCAAAATATGTTGCTCATACAACTTGAAAGTAAGTTTTTTTTTTTTTTTTTTTTTTTTG